GCTCTTGGATTCAAGTTTATCTCGATAAGCCTTGGAAGCATTAAAAATAATAACTTTTTCACGAAGATTATGATCACGAAGATTATGAGATGGATTCCTTTTGAACTCTTCTTTATATTGAATTATATAATGAGACAAGGGATTTGTTTTTAGATTATTATCCTCTTTAAGCTGCCGAATCCTCGATTGAGGTAGTGGTAGTGTTGTCGGTGCCATTTTGTTATGATTTGTCTTTATGTTTTATTTATTTATTTTTAATTATATCGATACTTTGCTAAATCGATTGTTTAAATAAGTTGTTCGTGTGTATAAAGTTAAATTACTTTGAAATTTCTTAAATACTATCGTGTTGTATCGAGACTCACTTGAACTATTTTTGCACATTTTTTGATAAACCAAGTAATATTGATGCTGTATCAGCACGTGCTACGTGAATTTATTTAACCTGTTTAAAACTTGTGAATTAAAACATGCTTTTTTTGAATGGGAATTATGTAAAACGAATGTTGATATGCTGATTATATTATTGCAACATCTTCATTTTTAGTAAGTGTGCACTGCAAATTTTGATCGTAACACACTCACTTTTGGTATAAATTAATCGAGTTAGATCAGTTCCAATAAACTAAAAAGTATATTACACGAGGAGTAAACATACAAGTTCAGTCTTTTTATCGTGTAATTGTAATTTTGTAACAGCGGAATAGTAATTGATTGGGCGATAAAAAATCTAAAGCTTGACTATAATAGGGCGTGTTACGTGAATGCTCAATGCGCCAAATTCGGCTCCAGGAGTAACCGGATAGAGTAAATGGATCACTTGGGGTATAAGTGACACCAATAAGTATTATTAATTGTTTGAATGTGTGTCACATATACTGCAAGAGATCAGGGTAAACATTCCCTTCATATGTATTACATATTAGGAAGTTATGGCGTACTGTTTTAACAATAGCCTGCTCTTATTCTTGTAAGAAAGGATAGTATAAGGGTCTAGCGTTGACTTATGTAATAACTGCAGACCATATGGGGTGTCTTCAATTAAAAGGGCCCCATTTTTACAATTTTTCAAAAAATGAGTTTTTG